GAATTTAGAAGTAAAGGGACATTGTGTCTGCAACTTACTCTTACAGGGTGTGTGTGTGTGTGAGAGAGAGAGAGAGAGAGAGAGCAAATACAGGAATCAGGATGAAGGGTATCTGGGAATTTCTTGTATTGTTCTTGCAACTGTTCTGCAAGTACAGCATTGTGGGAATGGAAAATGCAGGGACTGGGCACTAAGGCTATGAATGAAGCCTGCATAGGAGTGTGGGTAGCAGAGTTCTCTAGTCCAGGCTCCCCTCTTGGGTGCTGGGACCTAGAAGAAAAGCCTCTCTGCAGACAGAGCTGGAGTTAACACTGTCCAAGATAAATGGCCCAGGCCCTGTAAGTTTGCCCCACTGAGCAAAACAAGTACCCACCCACTTTTGCAGCCTTGCCCAGCTCACATAAGGTGCCAGCCCTTGCTGTACAACAGAACCTTTGGGGAGCTGGGCAAAAGCCTATCAAGGAGCATACCCCCAGGAAGTCCAGTCCAGGTGGGGAGCCCAGTCACACAATGGCCCTTGCCCCCATACCTCATTCAGTCAGCCAAGGCCATGGCAGCTGAGCTGCCTCCATAGTTCCTACAGGAAAGGAGTGTGGAAAGGGGCCACCAATGTGGTCAGGCCTCCATGGCCTGAGTGGGTCACCAAGCCTCAGATGCACAGACTTGATGTCATCAATTAGGATCTGTCAGCAGACCCAGCCCCCAGGAACACTGCTCCCCACTACAACCCCACACCAAGGCATCCTGGGCTCGCTCTGGGTTCTCCAGGCCACAGGGAAGACAGACATAGTCTGCCACCAAAGGTTTGAGCTCTGCCACTGGCTATGAAGCAATAGGTGATGTCAGAGCAAGGGAGGGACAGGACAGGAGTATACATGGGCAGGAAAAGATTACAGCCAAGGAAGAGAGGAAACGGGTGCCCTGATTTTGAGACTGTGCCCCAGCAGGGGCTTCCCAGAAGCTGTATTTGTCCTAAGACACCCCTCTGCAGCTGAGGGGCTAGAGATGGATATGTATCTGTGTTAGGCCATTCTTGCCTTGGTATAAAGAAATACTGGAGACTGGGTAATTTATAAAGAAAAGAAGTTTCATTGGCTCACAGTTCTGCTGGCTTTACAGGAGGCATGGTGCTGGCATCTGCTCAGCCTCTGAGGAGGCCTCAGGAAACTTACAGTCATGGCAGAAGGCAAAGGGGAAGCAGGCACATCACACAGTGGAAGCAAGAGTGAGAGAGAGAGAGAGGCACTAGGAGGTGCCACACTTTTAAACAACCAGATCTCGTGTGAACTCAGAGCAAGAGCTGACTCATCACCAAGCGGATGGCCCAAGCCATTCATGAGGGATCTGCCCCCATGATTCAAACACCTCCCACCAGGCCCCACCTCCAGTATTGGGGATTGCAGTTCAGATGAGATTTGGTGAGTACATATATCCAAACCATATCAGTTATCAGTAGCCATGCTGGATGAATGCCAGGAACTTAGAATGAGGACAAATGGTCCTTTAGGCCAGCGGCTTGTCCTATCGATGGTACCCTGATAGTCGTGGGGCTGCCCCAAAGAAAAAGCAAGAGGAATTCTGCAGAGCTGTCAGGGAGGGGCAGGTGGGAAGGCCTGCAGGGCAGTCCCCTGCTCCACAACCAGGTGTGCATCTCCCACATCCTTGGGGCTGTAGGCCCCACGTGAGAGCAGAAAGAAGGATGCAGAGGAAGGGCAAGAACACAAGGTGTGCCCTTGGGAAGGCTGGGCACACCAAACACAACCTAACAGACAACAGTAGTGAGCACACAGGGAAAGTCCTCACAAGGAAACCACATCATGACCTAGAGGCTGATCCCGCATCCTGCCATGTGATGCCCAGGCCCCAGCCTATGAACCAGTAGTCCTTATTGCCACAGCGATTAGTCTATGGATAGGCACCTGATCCAAGCTTCAGTCAATCAACAGGCCAATCAGCTGGCCATCAGTAGGTCATCCAATCAGAGTAGAGCCCAGGACTTTCTTCGACACTTAAGAAGAGAGAAGCAAAGAAACTGGCACAGATTGGAGAGGGTCAGGAAACCCCAAGCAGGATACATACAAACTTTTGGTTAACATGGATGATTAAATATATATGTTTATGTGAACTCCCTCTCAAATATGCTCCACTATAATGACACAAGACAAAGGGCAGGGGGAGAACAATTGGAAGGTGGCGCAAATGAGAGATGCTACCAAGGGTGGTGGGGGAAAGAGGGGGACAGGTGTGAAGTTATGAGGCAACTGGCTGAGGGGCAGGGACCAGCAGAGGGGGAGGGAGGGGCTGAAGCAGAAGTGTCGAGTGTCTGGAGGGATGGGGCCAGAAAGGCAAGGGGCATCCTGAAGAAGCTATACCTGGGGAGGGCAGCTCCCTCCCCACCTGCTCCCCAATTCATCAGCCAGGAATGCACCATCCACCCCACCCCAGGGAGGAGGATGGAGAACTTTCCTTCGAGAGCATTCAATGGTTCAGAGATTCTGCCACTCTGCGGTCCCCAACTAAACTACTCATTGTTTCAAGTAGTCCCTGTTGGGTAAACATCCCCCATTGTAACTGGACTCAGATTCCGCCGCTTGAAGGCCATATACAAGCGGTGAGGTTTGGTGGAAGGAAAAGTAGTTTTAACTAGAGCCAGCAAACTAAGAAGATGGTGAATTGTTGTTTTAAAGCATTCTATTATCTCATTTTAAAATTTATCATAGGATTCTTAAAGGAAAACTTGGTATGAGAGATAGATGGGAGCGGTGCAGGCTACAGGGTCTGTGTGTCTTGATCCAATGGCTGTCTTGAGTAATCACCTATCCTGAGGTCTGGTTGGTGTTATCTTGACTTCAGCCAGATGGTGGTGGACAAATTGTTCCGACTCCCCCTAAGTTGGAGGATTCCGTAGGGGTTCCATGTCTGGTTTTTGTTTTAAGATTAGCCCCTGGAATTCCCAAGTAAGCATATAGTTAGATAAGTGGGCATGGTGCAAAGGAGTGTCTAGTGGGAAAGGGAGAGAAGCAGAGTTTCAAAGTACATTTCAAGGCTACATTTTAAGACTAAAGAAAAATGCCTTAAAATGCATTTTAAAGCTGAGATACTCGGCTACACTAGGCTCTGGCCAGTGTGCGGTGTGGCTGCCCTTGGATCAGGTGACGTTTCAATCAACTGTGGCCAGGGAGGGCAGGGCCACGTGGCAGAACCTGGGACCTCCGTGTAAGGGACTGCCTTGGCCCCTGTCCTTAGCAGGAAACTATAGTAAGGAACCTTTAGGGAGACGTTAAGGTGGGGAGACCATCCCTGCCAACCCTTTAACCTCCCCAGCCTCAGTGACCTTAGTTGGAAAGTGGTGGTAATGATACTACCACTGGCAAGGTGTGGTGGCCAAACATTCCACACTTCTGCTTCAGCCGCTCTCTCCCCACTCTGCTGTAATCCCAGCACTTTGGGAGGAAGAGGTGGGTGGAACCTGAGGTCTGGAGTTGAGACCAGCCTGGCCAACATGGTGAAACCCCATCTCTACTAAAAAGAAAATACAAAAAATTAGCCGGGTGCAGTGGCACATGCGTGTGGTCCCAGCTACTCTCAGGTCTGAGGCCTGAAAATTGCTTGAGCCTGGGAGGTGGAGGTTCCATTGAATGGAGATCGAGCCACTGCACTCCAGTCCGGGTGACAGAGCAAGACTCTGTCTCAAAAAAATAAAATAAAATAAAATAATAATAATAATAATAATAATAATAATAATACCACTGCCTGCTGCACTGAGATTGTCTGATTAAATGACAGAATGAATGCAAAAGTACTTTGCGAATCATAAATATTTTCATCAATATTAGTTATAATGACAATTGCTCCTTCTCCTAATAAATGTACTGCCTTTCTTTAGGAATGAGTCTAACGAGAAATATGTAAGTTCTATATGAGAAAAATAATGAAATTCACCTGAAGGACATAAAATAAAACCAAAATAAATGAAACAACACGTATTTCTAGATGAGAAAACTCAATATTATAAAGAGGTTAGTTCTCTAAAATGAATCCCTAAACCCACAAAGTCAATGCATTTCCAATGAAATTGTCAACAGCGTCATTTTCTGAAGTGGGATGAGTAGTGCTAAGATTTATAAGAAAGATAAAAGGCACATGGCAAAGAAAATTTTGTGGGAAAAAAAAATCTTATTAAGAAAACAATTTCCTGCCCCCATCAGATATTTAAAAAAACTAAAACATTATACAAACCAAAAGAGCGTAGTATCAGCAGAGGAATGAGATATGCAGTGTGCAAGGCAAAGCCAAGGCCAAGGCCAGGGCCTGCCTGACTCGGCAGGTGAAGTATAAGGAGTGACTTCTATATTCAGATAAGTTATTACCAACACAGACAGCAAAAGAAAGGGTAACCCAAGGTGCAGGCCCCTGGGTTCTCCTGTGCTCTAAAAAGGGTGACACTAAAGCCAAAGGTGCAAGATGCTTGCAGTGTCTTTCCTTGCTGCGGAGCCAACCCTAGACTGCAGTTGCGAGCCTCACATCTGTCCCACGAGAACCTGGAGACGATAAGGAACTCTCCTGACCCTCCCAGGGAGGTGAGAAAGGCAGTGAGATATGGCCTCCAGCAGGATCACACAGTGTTCTGACAAGACTCAGCTCTCTGTGGTTTCCAGCTTTGCCTGTGTGGCCTTTGGGTACACCTGGAAGGTGACCAGAGCAGAGCTGTTCCCTTACAATGAGAAATAATGGAATACAAACTGTGGGTGCAGCAAACGTTCCAGAGCAGTGGGGAAAGGATTGCTTCCCCACCAAATAGCCATATTAGACTCTTCCCTAGCACTATACCCAAACCACCATCTCCCAGGACCCAGGAGAGCAGAAAGGAGGAATGAGAAGAAAGACGAGGATGTGAGATGTGCCCTTAGAATGACGGCGCACCAGCACAAGCAATTGCAGAAAGACTAAAGTACTGAACAAATAGAAAACTTGGAAAAATATTAGAAGGAAATGTGGGAGAACATTTTTACAATTTGGGGATTGGAAATGGTTTTCTTAACAAGATATAAAAACCCCAAAACAAGAAAACAAAGATTGAAATTCATAAAAACTGGATACTTCTGTATGATGAAAGACACGATTAATCAAGTTGTTAAGTTTAGCAATAAACTAGGGGAGATATCATAGCATATTTAACAGACAAAGGATTGATAGATATTACAGATGAAATATAAAATGGTTTCTCCATATCCATAGGCAGAAGATAATCCAATAGCAACATAGTTAAATAATATAAACAAATCATCCTTAGAAGAAGATATGCAATCACCAAGAAACACATGAAAAGGTGTCCAGCATTTTGAAATTCAAACAATGAGGTGACAGATCGGCAAAAAACTCATAAAGATTTATCGTCTGAAGGACTGGCCAGGATAAAGCCAAACTTCTCGTGTTGGTGGAAGAAACTGGTGAAGCCATGTGAGGAGGCCACGTGGTCCTGCCTACCAAGATGTGAAATGTGTGTAGCACTTGAACTAGCCATTCAGCCTCCAGGAGCCAACCAGAAGAAACATTGACACACACTTACTCTGGTGAAATTCAAGGACATCTACCACAGCCTCCTTCGTAATAGTGAAAATCTGAAACTGCCTCAATGACCATCAATAGGAAGTTGATTTTAAAGTGTTACAGCACATCTGTCTGGAGAGATCGCACTGGCCACTCCTCCTCACCCCCTCTGCTGGATCTTTGAGTATAGGTGGCCTGGAGCCGGGTCCTGAGCCCTCTTTGGTCTATCCCAACACTACCCAGCATGGTAGCCACCAGTCACAGTGAACACTTGAAAAGTGGCCGATCCTAACTGAAAAGGGCCGTGAGTGGGAAATACACACCAGACCTCCGTATCTTAGGCAGAAGTACATTTTGTTCCAGACTATTGACTGAGCCTGCCGCTGAGTTGGCTCCAGCACCCTGGCCCCCTGCTCCATCCACTCACTGGGACTTCCTACTGCACAGGGCAACCTCTCCAGGGGCGCTTGGGCTGCGAGGGAGAGAGTGGGTGGCATCCCAGGCAGAAGCTTCTTGAGCAGGGCCAGAGGAGGTGCCAGTCCCTGTGGGCCTCTGTTCTGGCAGTTTCAAACTCAGCCAGGCTTGTGTGGGCCAGGTTTACTGTTCTGGTTCAGATTTCAAGACAATAATCAGGACAGGCCACACCAAAGCCCTCCGATGGTCCCATGGGCCTGCGCCTGAGCCACGCCAAGCTGCCTGCTCCCTTTCCTCTGCTTCCAGACTCACGGGGTCCTCTGCTCCTCGGAATAGGAGTGTGGGAGACCCTGAGACACTGCCCCAGGACCTGAACAGGTGGCAAAGGCTTAACAGGCTAGCAGTCACTTCAGTGACAAGGTGATTGAGTGGTCACCATGGTGATGGGGATGGAGGCTCTTTGCCACCAGTCCCAGTTTTATGCATGGCAGCTCTAATGACAGCACGGTCAGCCCTGCTGAGTCCACTTCTGGTCACCATGACTACCACAGGCCCTCTCAGGAGCACAGTAAGCCCTGGCAGGAGAATCCCCCACTCCACACCTGGTTGGAGCAGGAAATGCCAAGCGGCGCCTGAGCCCCGGGGAAGCAGGCTAGGGTGTGAGAGACACAGTCACCTGCAGCTTAATTACTCAAAAGCTGTCCCCAGGCCACAGGAGGGAGAGGACCTTTCCTACTGAGTCTGTCTGAAGGACACTAAGTCCCACAGCTCAACAGAACCTGGAGAGAAAGCGCTAAGGACGCCACCTGAGCGCCAAGCAATGGCCCTGCCTGGAGAACATCCAGGCTCAGTGAGGAAGGGTCCAGAAGGGAATGCTTGCCGACTCGCTGGAGAACAATGAAAAGGAGGAAACTGTGACTGAACCTCAAACCCCAAACCAGCCTGAGGAGGACCACATTCTCCCGGGGACCCAGGGCAGGCCGTGACCCCTGCAGGGGAGAAGCCTTGGACATTTCTGCTTCAGAAGCCTGTTGGGGAAGGCTGAGGGGTCCCAGCTCCCTGCGCTGGCTGCTGTGCAGATGCTGGACGACAGAGCCAGGATGGAGGCCGCCAAGAAGGAGAAGGTAGCTTGCCCTCCATTGGGCATTCTGGGAGTGTTTGCTTGCCTGTCCCCAACATTCCGTGGTTTGTTTGAGCCTCAGAATCTGATTTTATGCACAGGCTCTTTAAGAAGGGTCTTGCCAGGGGTGCCTTCTGGGGCAGGAAGACCCCTACTGCCTGGCAGACCCGTCCAGCTTTGGACTCTGGCCCTGCGACCTGGAAGTCAGGCTGCCAAGAAGTCCAGGCAGTGGCCTCCACTGGGGAGGGGCTCTGGAGAATTTAGAGCCCTAGATGCGGGGGTTAGGGATGTGAGGTCTTGTGGGCAAAGCCCACTACCTGATTTTAAGACAACACTCACTAGACATGGTGACAAGTCAAAGATGCCTTGCCTTCTGGCAGGAATCACTTCGCAGGGAACCTGAGGGCTGCTGTGGCCTGCTGAGGAGTTCAGGGCAGTTACTTTCTCCAAAAACAAAGAGAAATCCAGGCATGCTCTGAGCCAGCCCGGAGCCCAGCAGTGAGCAAGGAGAGAGCTGGAGACAGGGGACTTTGCTGTGAAACATTGGGGGGAACGTGCCTGCATCACCCCAGCTGGGGGCCCAGGCAGAGTGGGGGAGAAGGGGTAAGTGAGCAGAGCCAGTTACTTTGGGCATGCTTCCCTCTCGCCTCTGTGTAAAATGACCAAGTCAGCATAAACCCTGGGCTGGCTCTGCTTCTGGCAGAGCTAATGATGTTAGGAGGAAAACAACCAACCCAAGTGAGAGGGTGCGCAGCCAGACAGCTGGACCAGCCGAGGCCCCAACCAAGTCCCAGATCTGCCTCTCACTGGTGCTATGGCAGCAATTTGGATGAGAAATCCTGCCCAAAGGGAACCCTTCAGGCCACCTGGGGAGAAGGAAACGGCTGTCTTTGGCATGACCAGAAAGATGGCTCGGAGCTAGGGAGAGGTGGACATGTGGGCTGCGGAGATCCAGCACTTTCCCCAAACAGGGAGAGAAAGCATAGTTTGCCCGTGTGTGTGCGTGCACGTGTGTGAATGTGCTATGTGTGCATGTTTGCACCTGTGCATACCTGCATGTGTACATGCATGTGCACATATGTGTGCACAGGGAATCACTTTAATAAAGGCCACAGCAGAGCTGTCCCTGAGCCCCTTGCATTCACAGTGGCATGTGAGTGGGCATCCAGTCTCAGACTCTGGAGCTGCCCATGCCCCATCCTGTAACTGCTCCACGTGTGAGGGGGTGCTGGTCCTGACCACGGCCAGCTGTGAACCCCGGAATCCTGGGAGGTCACTGACGTTCTTGTCAGGCCAAGAGTGGAGCAAGACAATGCTTTGGGCATAAACTTTAAGGGGTCACCAGAAACATCAATCATCAAGATATATGCTATTTTAAATAATCAAAATGAATGCAAAAAAATTTATGATGGACAAAATACCAAATTCTGAACAAAGACAGGATGAGAATCACTGATTTCTGCACTTTTCTCCACCCTATCTACCCCTCTTCTAGTGCCCAGATCGCAGGGCGCCAAGGCCCAGATGAGGGAAGCGTGGAGCTGCAATGGCCACTCCTGTCTGCTTGCTCTGGCTGCACAGAGGACTTGGTCCTTGTCTTGGGGGAACCTAGCTTGGTTTTAGGGTCATCCTAAGGATCTGATGTTTTCCAAGTGGGCTGGCTGCCCAGGCCCACCCAGGTCCAGTCCTGTGTCTCTGGGAAGTGCTGCCCCCACCCCAAGCCAGTGTTTGACCTTAGAGCAATGAGCAGTGCCCTCCTTGCACTTTCAAAGTTGTCCCAGGACGTCAGCTGTGGTTGTCTCTGTGCAGACTCCCAAGACGAACTGTCTTCTTTCTCCTTTTGATTGCTTTGGAGGAAACTAAAGTGTTGCTGGTTTCCCTCTTACTACTTCTCTGATCGAGAGCAACCATCTTGCTGGTACCAACCTTCCGGATCTTACCTGTGGTCATTCCTTTATAATCTGCAGGAGCCTGTGGCCTCAGTTCCACGCCCAGTGACTTCTCCATGTGGATGTGAGCTCCTTAGGGGTGAGCCCGATTGCACTGACACCACCCCCACCCCTCATAAGCCCCTTCTTACCAGCTGTGGTTGCCTGGTACCCCACCATTGCTGACTTATTCCTTTGGCATCAAGGTCCATCCCTTACTGGGTCACCACTTCTGGGTGACCTGAAATTGGGCCCTGGGCACCCCTCTTGGGGACCTTTTGGTCTATATTTTCACTCTCACCTCACTATGGACAGATGAGTAAGTCTGGTTAACTTTGCCTGATAGATTTGGTGACCCCTTTTCAGGAAAGGGCCTGGAAAGATGAGATTCAGGTGTATTGGTCAGCTTAGGCTGCCATAAGAGAATACTATCCACTGATGGCTTAGAAACAACAGAAATTTATTTCTCACTATTCTAGAGGCTGGAGGTCCAAGATCAGGTGCCAGCATGGTCAGGTTGCAGGGAGGGCTCTCTTCCTGACTTGCAGACAGCCACCTTCTTGCTGTGCCCTCACATGGTGGAGAGAGAGTGAAAACAAGCTCTCTGGTGTCTCTTCTTATAAGAATGCTAATCCTATGATGGGGGCTCCCCCTCCTTACCTCATCTAAATCTAATTATTTCCCGAAGTTCCCATCTCCAAATACCATCACACTGGGGTTAGGGCTTTAACATATGAATTTGGGGGTACACAATTCAAGCCATAACACCAGGAGGGCATGCCAGGAGGAACTGACCTTCTTCCCTCCGGGGTCTCCAGCTGCCCTGGGCACCTTTGCCCCATTGAAGGAGCAGGCTTAGAAGTGGAATGAGACTGGAATAAGGTGTACTCCGTCAGGCTTACCCACATCCCTGACAGGAATTGTCCTGGGCCCCAGTAGGAGAGATGGCCCCTATACTGCCATGGCACCTGCTCTGAGACAGGTGTACAGCGTGCAAAGCTCCAGGTGGCCTACAAGCGGGTGTGCTGGGAGGAGGGGCCAGTGTGGGAGGGGCAGGCAGTGCCAAGGCCTAGGGGAGCAGTGACAGGTCCCTGACTTCAGGGAATGGGCATGCTGTGGGTAGGCCACTGGTTTGAGGGTGAGGGCTGGGGCTGCATCTGTGGGACCAGGGCTGGGTCATCCATCAGATGCCATGTCACACCCCCAGTGCCCCTGCTGTAGCCAGGACAGGAGGCTGGGCCAGGCTGGGAGGTGACAAGAGTGGGGGTTGTCCCCAGGAGAAGCCCTCTGCTGCCTGTGGCCCAGGCCTCTGGGGATAAGGACCCTTCAAAAGGAGTAGCTATGTCTGGGAAGCCCAGGGCAGTAGCAAGCCAAGGGGGACATCATTAGTGAGATCCAGGGGATCAGTGGGCCACAGGAGCCCCAGCGTGAGCCCCTCTGACGGATGCCGCTAGGCCCACGCCTGTACCTGCCCACAGCAGGACCCCCAGGAGGAGAGGGGACAGATGGAGAGAGGCACAAAGTGCCCTTGGCATCTGTCTTGAAGCCACCCGAAGGGAAGAGAGATTTGAACTCCTGTTTAGTGACCTCCAGGGAAACATTCTGGCCCATCTGATGTGGGAAGCCCCTTGTGGGGTCTGTCATTCCTCAGCTGAGCCAGGCCTTTGGAGGCAGCCCAGGCATGTCCCCTGTGTGCTCCTTTCCCTGTGTTGGGACACCTGGCCCGGCCTCTCCTTCTGCCTTTCTCTTCCCTTCCCTTCTCAGGAGTGGACACTTCCTCCTTTAGCCCCCTCTCAGCTGTGTGAACTTCTCTGTGTCTCTGTCTCTGTCATTCTGTCTCTGTCTCTGTGTGTGTGTGTGTGTGTGTGTGTGTGTGTGTCTATCTTTCTGTATTTCTCTCTGTTTCTTTCTCTGTGTGCCTGTTTTTCTCTCTCTCTCAGTCTCTCTCTTTTGCTGGTCTGAGCAAAGAAGGATCCCCATTCTTATGCTACATAACCATGCACCAGTACAGACAGAATTGTAGGAAAGTCCTGCAAGTAGAAGGATAGAAGGATGAGAGAAGGAATGCCATGTGAGTCATAACAGATCCCTTTTTAGGGGTCACTGACTCACCCTGACTCCTGCCCTCCCACTGTGACACTATTACCCACAGACAGGCTCAGATTAAACCCATGTTCCAGGTGCCCTGTGGTTCCCACAGTGTGGCTCCCTGGGTCTGGCCTCAGGCTCCACAGGTGCCCAGCCCTGCCAAAGGCTCCAGAGCAGCTGCCCCAGCTGGGGAGCTGTGGGGCCCCTTCACAGAGTACATGGGAAGAAGTTCCATCCTACACATTACATCAAGAGGGATGTGCCTGAGAGGGGTAGATGGAGCCCGTGCAGCCCCCTGCTTGCATGCAGAACATAGTGTACCCTGAGCATGCCATGAAAAACACAAACGCACAAAGTTGTAAAGAAAAAAGAAATGACAGGTGGCTGTAAAATCAATTATAGTCCACAAGAGGCCCACTAATGAGTGGTGATTTCAGCTGATTACAAAGAAATGGTGGTGTTCCTGTAATGGCCCAAACATGCACTCGTGCGTGCACACACGCGCACGTATAGTCACATGACTGACCAGTCCTATGCATCACTTGTTAATTACTTAGATACTGTAACAGTAATGGTTTCCAATAAGTGAGCCTTAGTCTCTGCACAAGGGTCAGTTTATTGAACACACAGAGGCCTTGCAGTGGGGGCAGAGGACCTGCTCCTGGGAGCCGCCAGCTTCTCCTGCTGTTCGTCCTCCTCTGTGGTGGGAAGTGGTCTCACTGCTTCTACACCTAAGGCTGAACAATCTCCCTTTATTTCAGTCTGAAACGCTTGTAAAAATATACTAGAATGAATTAAGGTTGCAATTATTGATATCAGGCAGTGAGTACATCAGGATTTATTATACTGTCCCATTTACTGACTTTGAAGTTCTCTATTACCAAAAAATTAAACAGTATAAAAGAAAGGAAAGAAAAAGAGAACAAGGCTAGATTCAACACAGATTACTCTTACCGAACCCTTCTTAGTCCCAAGAGTCCCCTAACAC